AAGTGTTGGGAACTTAACGGAGCATAAGGTGAATATGCCAAATGAGTTTGAAAATGGTAAATATGCCAGTAGCTTCTTGAACAATCCTGGTCTCTGCATACAGAGCTCATTCGTACACCTTAAAATCTGCAGTTTTCAACCACGAAAATCAAGCGAAAGTTCTGACTACTATGATTTCGCTTTGAAACTAAGTGCATTCATTGGCGTCTTTTTTTGGTCTTGGTACTTGAATTCATCATTTCAGAGATTACTGTTATAGTTTTTTTCTGATATGGATGGCATATATTCAAGTTACGGGCTCTGTGATGGGTGGAGGGTATGTAAAAACTAGAGAAAAATGATAAGCAATCTACTGTGTAATATTTTGTGTGTCTATATTCAACAGGAATAGCACAAATATATACAGAGGTTGGTGTTCTGAAATAGGAAGATAAATATATTACAATCTTCTACCTATTATAAAGTAGGAAGATAAATATATTACACATAATGAGATTGATCACAAGAATATTTCTCAATACTCCCCCTCAAGTTGGTGAGTGAATATTATGAAGTCCCAACTTGCCACTTAAGTAATGGAATTGTTCACTTCCCAAAGGTTTGGTGAAGATGTCTGCAATTTGTGAACGTGATGAAACGTATGAAGGTGCTATTACTCTGTCTTGTATTTTCTCTCATACAATATGACAATCTATTTCAATAAGCTTTGTGCGTTCATGAAAAATGGGATTTTTGGCAATGTGAAGAGCTCCTTGGTTGTCGCAAAATAAAAAGGCTGGCAGATTTTGTGGTACTCTGAGATCTTGCAAGATATATCGTATCCACATAATTTCCAAACATGTTGCAGCCATAGCTTGACACTCTGCGTCAGCAAAAGATCGAGCTACATTAGGTTGTTTCTTTGATTTCCAAGAAATTAAGGAATTTCCTAGAAAGACACAAAATCCTGTAATAGAACGTCGAGTCTTCATACAACCAGCCCAATCTGAATCATAGTAAGCCCTTAATGTGAGATCATTAGAGGAAGGAAAAAAATAATCCTTGACCAGGATTAACTTTAACAAATCGTAAAACTCTCAGGGTAGCTTCCCAATGCGGTTTTCGTGGATTTTGCATGAATTGACTTAGGATCTGTACAAAATAAATTATAACTGGCCTTGTCATCGTGAGGTAAATCAATCGCCCTACCAACCTTCTATATTTGATGGGATCTTGCAATAAATCGCCTTCAACCAGATTTAATTTTAAATGCTCCTCCATTGGAAAAGAATTGGGACGAGATCCAAGTAATCTTGTATCTTTCAAAGTATCTAATGCATATTTTTGTTGAGAGACAAAAATTCCTTTTATGGATCGAGAAACTTCAATGCCAAGAAAGTATTTTAGATTACCAAGATCTTTGATACGGAATTGTTGCAAAAGATAATCCTTGAGGGACTTATTTGCTTTTTCATTGTTGCCTGTCACAATAATGTCATCTACATAAATAAGCACTGTAGTAAATGAGTTCCTTACGTATTTGGTGAATAAGGAGTAATTGGCCTTTGACTGGGTGAAACTTGCCTTTTGAATGGTGTGAGAGAATTTTGCGAACCAATTGCGGAAGCTTGCTTTAAACCATATAAGGATTTATTGAGCCGACATACCATATTCTCCCCCTGTCGGTGAAGACCAAGGGGAACCTCCATATAAACAACCTCATCAAGATCGTCGTGAAGAAAGACATTTTGAACATCCAGTTGATGGAGGAACTAATGACGTGAAGCGGCAATGGATATAAGAAAACGAACAGTGGTGATTTTGGCAGTAGGGGAAAAGGTTTCGAGATAATCAACTCCTTCAATCTGGGTGTAGCCCTTAGCAACAAGACGGGCTTTGTACCGCTCTATAGAACCGCCAGAATTATATTTAATTTTTTTAGACCCACTTGCATCCAATGGGCCTATGATTGGTAGGTAGAGGAACCAAGGTCCAAGTGTTATTGTGTATAAGGGCATCAAGTTCAGCTTGCATAGCATCTCTCCATTTGGGATCAAGGACTGTCTGAGAATAGTTAGTGGGCTCACAGAAACCAGAAATATTAGCAAGAAAAGAAAAATGAGAAGGGGAAAGACGTGAATAAGATAAAAAATGAGAAAGAGGGTGTCTTGTACCTTGAGTAGAACTAGACAACGGGGTTAATGAATGATTGGTGCCAGTGTGAGCAAAGTTCATATAGTAGTCAGCATGCCAGGCTAGGGGTTTATTAGGGCGTTGTGAACGGCGGGTAAGTGGAAGGGAACTATCTGATGGAAGTGGAGTTCTTGGTGGATTGGTGTTGACAATTAAGGGGTGTAAATCATGAGTGGAATTTGTGGGGGATAGAGTAGAAGTGGGATTGGGTTCGATGGATTTTGGTGGTGAGGAGGGTGTTGGTGATATGGATGGGGAGTTGTCAACAAAAGGGCTTTGGTTGTGAGATGGGTCTAATGTGGAAAAGTCAAAATCAGAGGCATTGGTGAGTGGAAGTTGTGGGGATACAGTTTCTAATGACTGGTGGGTGGGTATTGTACTATAAGGAAAAGTTTGTTCATGAAAGCACACATCTCGACTGACAAAAAATTTGCTGGTTTCTAAATCAAATAATTTGTATCCTTTTTGTCCTGTAGGATAGCCCAAAAAAAAAAAAAAAAAAATGCAATGACAAGCACGGGGGGTAAATTTGGGAATAGGATGAATAATAGTGACATAACACAAACAGCCAAAAACACGGAGATGATCATAAGATGGTGGATGATGGTATAACTGTTCAAAAGGTGTAATATTAGAAAGTAATGGTATGGGCAAACGGTTAATTAAATAAACCGTGGTTAATATACATTCACCCCAAAAACAAATTGGAACATTAGATTGAAAAAGTAAAGCACAGACGACCTGTAAAATGTGACGATGCTTGCGTTCAACAACTCCATTTTGTTGTGAAGTATAAACACAAGACCGTTGAAATTCGACTCTATTTTGAAAAAAAAAAAGAATGCAAAGAAAGAAATTCACCACCATTATCACTGCGAACAATTTTAATGCGAGAATGAAATTGAGTGGAAACAAAATTTAAAAAGGTCATGAGCAATTTTGGAGCATTAGATTTATGTGAAATAAGAAATTACCATGTGCAATGACTGAAATCATCAACGATGGTCAGGAAATAACGTGCAACTGAATGTGTTGTATGTTTATGAGGTCCCCAAATGTCGCAATGTATTAATTGAAATGGCAAAGTAGAAGAAATTGTACTAGATTGAAAAGGTAGACGAGTTTGTTTTGCTAGCAGACAAATATTACCATTATTTGAAAATTGATTGTCAGTAATAGAAACAAACTTAGAGATGGAGCGTAGCAAATAGGACATGGATGACCAAGACGATAGTGCCAGGTGGTATTGGTGGTGGTGGTAGAACATGTTGTAGGTGACTTGCGGGCTGGTGACATGAAATAAAGACCACCACTTTGCTTACCCCAACCAATCATCTTCCCCATAGCCAAGTCCTTCAAAACGCAAAAGTTAGGGAACAAAATCACACCACAATGTTTAGACTTGGTGATTTTACTGGCAGATAAAATGATTAGACGAAAAGAAGGCATATGAAGAACATCATGTAAAACAATATCTTTATTGAAAAGTATTGTGCCAGTAGAATCAATGGGACATTAGAATTGTTAGGTAAATTGACAACTGGTGTGTTAGGTGGATGTGAGTGGGCAAATGAGGTGGGGTCTGAAGTAATATGGTATGTGACACCACTATCTAAAATTCAACAATTTGAAAAAATAGAGTGAGTAGAAGGATGTTTGTGTAGACTTGCTATATTGGTATAATCATCAATATTACCCTTGGATATGTGTGCCATATTGGCCATGGCAATGGTCAATTGTTGGTATTGCTCGGTTGAAAGGCCTGGAACTATCTCCTGCAAATAAGTGTTGTTGGTGACATGGGAAGCAGGTGCATTCTGATTGTTGTGGAAAGATTTGTGAGAATTGGCATCAATGCTGACTTGAGACTTAGCTGGTGTGATAGATGCTGCATGTGCAGCGTGAAACTGGTTAGATTGTGAGCTTTGACAGCTGCTGGTCATTTGGTATGGTTGACGGATTTTAGGCTTGAAATGGTGATCATGGCATGGATGTCCATGTGGGAATCCATGTAATTTGTAGCATTCTGCAATGTTATGGTTGTCTTTCTTGCAATATCTGCAAAACAGTCCACTTGTGTTAACATTAGAAGAAGGGTGAGAAGTCGAGTTACCAGAGAATTTGTGGTTCTTGATATTTTGTACAACTATTGCGATCGAAAAATTTCCCATAAGAGAATTGTTTCCTATTTCTCTTTGTCTCTCTTCTTGAGTAACTAAGTTGTATGCTTCGTACACATTGGGAGGAAGCTTCATAAGAAGAAGTTGTCCTCAAACAGAATTGTATGAGTTATTGAGACCCATAAGGAATCGCATTAACCGATCTTGTTCTTTTTGTTTCTCTATCTCTTGCACATCTGGGTGTGTGCTACTTGAAGGAGGGCGATAAATAGAGAGTTCATCCCAATATGATTTTAATTTGGTGAAATGAACAACAATACTAGAAGTACCTTGCTCATGTGAGGCAATTGATTTTTGGATTTGATAAATTCTAGGTGCATTTCCTTGAGCAAAGCGCTGACGAAAATCTTCCCATACTTCATGGACTATGGATGCAAAGACAATGCTGCATGTAAGATCAGAGGCTACAGAGTGAGTGAGCCATGAGAGAATCATATCATTGCATTGTTCCCATAATTCATAGTCATTGGCCTGCTCAGTTGGTGACGGGCCTTGAATTTACCATTGATGAAACCAAGTTTTTTCTTGGCAATGACAGCTATTTTGACAAATCGACTCTAGGTAGCATAGTTTTCTCCATTGAGCAATTCAGTGACAAGAGATTGGTTGGGATTTTCTCCATGGTGGAGGAAATAATGACTATTGATAATGGCAGAGGAAGTGGGGATTGGTGTGGAAGAGTTTGATTCAGTTAAGGAGATCGGAGTTTCCACCATATTGAAGATGAAGGTGGATCAGGAGGATTTTTATTGGAAAGGTATGTGAAAAAATTGTTAGGCAATCAAGAGCTGGTGCTCTGATACCATGTAAAAACCAAAGAAAAATGATAAGCAATATGTTGTGTAATATTTTGTGTGTCTATATTCAACGGGAATAACACAAATATATACAGAGGTTGGTGTTCTAAAATAGGAAGATAAATATATTACAATATTCTACCTATTCTAAAGTAGGAAGATAAATATATTACACATTATGAGATTGATCACAAGAATATTTCTCAATAAAGCATTTAGTTTGTATTTAGTTTCTGATATGGATGGCATATTTTCACTTGACATTCCTGCAAGTCTAGGCTCCAATAATTTTACTACTAATTATTTAGTTTGTATTTGGTTTGTTGGGCTCATTACCTTGTGCTTAGTTCTGGGCGTGCGTTCTCTTAGAGAGTCTCATGGCTGCTGCTGTACCGATATGAAATATGATGATCGTACAATTTAATTTTGTGATAATATTATCTATCATGTTGTATTATATTGATCATGCGACTATATTTGATCCATGATTCAATTTGAAATTTGTGGCTGTTATATGATCTTGACTATATTAACTTTTCAAAATTCTTAAAGTCTTGACGAGGGTAGGATATCGATAAAATTTTGAAATCTTGATAGGGGTAGGATATTCGTTAGAATTCTTAAGTCCTGTTGGGGGTAAGCAAATGGTAGAGGTAGGTTTTGTTCAGATCGTAGTCGATTATTATAAAATTTGTTTCAAGTTGTTGATGCGTGATTTAGACACCAACTAATTGACATGTGCGCAGCGTTGATTGGGCTAGGAACACACGTGAATATGGATTGTCAATATGAAATAAATGCAATGAGAGTTTTTATAGTGGTTCGGATGCTAAGGTAGCAGATCCTACATCCACTGATTTGTATTAATATGGTGGGTCAGGTCACTAAAGCGGGCTGACTTACAAATGATTGAAAAGTAAATACAAAGCTTTGTTTAGTGAGAGAGAGAATACAAATGTAAAATGATCGAATCCCTTTAATGAAGGGGTCTTCCTCTTCTTATACCAAGCTAAATGTGTGTAATGATCATTAAATCCTTGGGTTGGTGTGTGTGTCAGGATGTAATCTGGCTTTACGTCCTATTACCCATTTTCCAAGCCGATTTCACGCGATTTGGAGCAGGTTAGCGGACACGTGGGAGCACCAGGGCGTTTGGCAGGCCTGACGTGTGCTTACCGTTCTGACGGGAGCAGGCCACGTTTCGTGACGCAACTCCACGTCAGCCTTTGATTTCTCAGGCATAACAGAAGCCCCCTAGTTTGTAAGGTTTGAGGGTCGAACCTTGGAAACTAAGTCATGCCGCGATTGGAGGTTTTGGTTGTTTCGACCTGAATGGAAGAAGATCGGGACACGCCCTTCGGCGAACACGACCTCGTACAATTCTCGCCCAAACGACCTGACAATCGTCATTTTAACGACCTGGATTCGTCGGGCACTCTTTTACGTGCCTTGGAGAGATTCAATGAACCTGCATCCATGCTGTCAGGCGCTCTGCACGCGCTGCAGTGTCTGCCAGAAGCATTAAATGCACTGTGCTGACTTGACATCGTTTTGACAGCTTTAACTGCACGACGCATTTGAAACGACGCATTTGAAATGACGACTCCTATCACGGCATTTAATGCGACGTGGGGCGCATTAAATGAGGGGAGAGAGAGAGAAGTCCGTCGTTTCGGTTCCGAGAGGTAGTAACCGTTGATTCGCAGTCCATATAAAAACTCACATTTTTCAGATAAGGTCACGAAAACCCCTTTTGCTTCGAGTGACAAGCCTTTGCAAACATAAATTATTCTTTTCCGATCGGCGCTTCTTAGGCAACTGAAACGAGTTTCGGCCTCGGTTACGCATCCCATAAGGTAAGATTCTCTTTTTTTTTTTTTTTTTTTTTTTTTTGCATTTGTTTGATTGGTGGGCAATGGTGTTGGGTCTCTTGGTGTTCCACCAGAGATGCGCCACTATTGCCGGACTCAAGCCGTGGGTGGCGGCTCGAGTTACTGTTAGGGTTTTAGGAATTTGTCCCCTGCCATCGCACGGGACAAAATACGAAGGCCTAAATGACCGTGTCTGTCAGTGTTCTAGACTCTGGAATGGAACTGTCAACATCCAGACCCGAGGAAGGAGCCAGCTCGTCCTCGCGGGAAGTTCCCGAGGACCCATCCCTTGACGTCTTCTCGGTTCTCACCCGAGAAGAGAGCTGGATAGGATTAAGAAACAGTTCAATGTCCAAGCAGAGGTGTCCCTCGACCACACCCGGTCGTCACGGCATCCTACTGACGGCCTTGCTACGATCTCCGAGGAGATCTTCAAGGGTGGAGGGATGATTCCCTTCCATCCTTTCATCAGGTCTGTCCTGGATCACTTCGGGATCGCACCGATACAGCTCACACCAAATGCGTATGTCATCGCCGTTGCGATGTACATCGCGTGCTGCGAAAGCGACTTGGGTGAGCCAACGGCGGTGGAGCTCAGCGTCGCCTATTACCTTAAAAAGAATAGGGACAAGGATTCATATTACTTGTCCCGGCGACCTATCATTGCCGAGGGGATACATAGCTATCCGAGCAACGCGGGGGCTTACGAGACGAAATTCTTCTTTTTCAGCTATGACGGCTACTGCCGCTTCCAGACACCAAGTAGGTTCTTCCTTGCTAGGTATATAACCTGTTCGCATGCTTTATGATAACGACCTGTATTCTTTGGCAGTTAACAGAACGACCAGCCAAGACTTACTTGACGACTCGGACAGGCTCGTATCTTTTGGAGTTCTTCCTGAGGAAAGCCAGGACGCGAGAAAGCTCGTGACAACTGCGAACTTGCGGAAGTACAGTTTCATCAATAGCAAAGCGTCTTTAGAGCCCCTAGAAGGTAAGTTACATTGATTTCCTTCCTGGTCGCGGAGTAGTTTTGTTTACTAACGCACTTGCATGCAGAAACCATGCCCTCGAAGGAGTCCGAGCAGCCTCGTCCAGCACCGTTCGTCTTTCCTCGATCGAGGAGGGAGAGAGCGGCCGAAGATGCTCGTCCCATTCCTACACAACCGATGCGAGCTGCCGCACCTTCACAGCCCCCTGTGCATGAAGCGACCAGGGCAGAACAAGTCGCTCAGGCACCACCGGCGCGCCCAAGGCGTAAGGCTCCAGCCCAAAGGTCGAAGAAGAGGAAACAGGTTCAGGCCGAAGAGTCTGAGACCGAATCCGAGGAGGGGCCCTTGAGGTCGCGAAGGGATTCAAGGAGGTCGCGCAAGGAACCCGCAAGTGAGGCGATCATCGCCGACAAGGCAAAGGACATACCAGTGCTGGACTCGCTGGGGAGCCTGCCCGAGTACCTGTAGCCGATAGTCTATTCTCTGCTTGAGTGCGGACTATCGGAGTCTTACGATGAGTTCGCTGACACGGGCGACGACCTGATGACCACGTCGTTCTAGCATCTAAGCAAGGTAAACGAGCTGCTCTTAAAATTTTGTTCTGGTTCATTTCTAACCATTTCTTGCTCGCAGGCTCTACTTGCGATGAGGATGTCTATGGAGAGGACTCGGCTAGGAGCCGCGAAGGGGTCTAGCGACCTACAGGCGGAGGTCGCGAAGCTCAAGAAAAGCCTGGAGTCCGTCGAAGCTAAAAGAACACAAGCATTCGATGCGGCGAACAGGTATCTGAGCCAAAAGGATGTTGCTTTACGAACGGTGGACTTCCAAAAGGCAGAGCTTGAGCGACGTGCGGAGGATGTGAAGGAACTCCAAAGGACAACCGCCAGGCTCTCCAAAGTGGTCGGGGAGAAGGACCAGGAGATCCAGACGACCTCCATATGGGCCCAGCGAGTTGAACGGGAAAGAGAGGCCTCCAAACAGTAGAGGCAAGCTCTTGAGGCCGAACTTCAGGAGAGTCAGGAAAAGATTGCTTCACTGACTGAAGAAATGTGGATTCAGTCAGAGGAGACGGTGGAAAAGGCCGCCGACTGGGCGATCGGGTGTATTTATTCCCTCCGATTAAGAAACCCAGATATGGACATTTCCGACCTCCCGGAGGGGTGGCAAGAGACTTTGCGGATCATGGCTGAGGAAGACGATCAGGCAGCAGCAGCCACCCAACGACCCGACCAGGCAGCCGCGGCCACCCAACGACCCGACCAGGCAGGGGGTTCTGGTTAGAAGGATCCCCCCGACCAGCCGTAGTGTAATGAGTCGACTCCATTGTAATTGGGTCTAACTTTTGTTTGTACATAAATGAAGATACATTTTCTTTTCAATTACAGTTCTCTTTTTCATAAATAAGTTCAATTTACAATTCAGTTTACATAAGCAATACTATATGCGAATTCTTACACGCGAACAGAACACATACGAACTGTTTCCAGCGAACAAAATTAAGCTTTACATTAAAAATGAAATTAACATAAACTGATTGAGAGCTGAGTTCGGGATTACTGATAGTATGGCCGGAGGTGTTCGACATTCCAACCTTGGGGTACTTTGGAACCGTTCAGTCTTTTGAGATGGTAAGTCCCCGGTCTGATCACCTTGTCGACCCGGTACAGCCCTTCCCAGTTAGGTCCTAGTACCCCTGCACTCGGCTTTCTGGTCCCAAGGAGAACTTCCTTTAGCACAAGGTCCCCGACCTGGAAGTCTCTTAGCTTGACCTTTGAATCGAAAAACCTCTTTGCTCGCTGTTGGTAGGCTGCTATCCTTAGCGAAGCCTTGCTGCGATGCTCTTCAACGAGATCCAAACTTGCCCTCATAAGTGCTTCGTTTTCAACCTCATCGTACAAGTCCCTCCGAAGAGAACCAGTTCCCACCTCTACAGGGATCATCGCTTCGCAGCCATAGGCTAGCGAAAAAGGGGTCTCTGAGGTGGAAGTTCTTGGAGTTGTCCTGTACGCCCATAAGACTTCAGGGAGATCGTCAGCCCAATTTCCTTTGGCCGCCCCGAGCTTGGCCTTTAGAGTGTGCTTGATGGTCTTGTTGACTGCCTCAACTTGGCCATTTGCTTGCGGTCTGGCGACTGAGGTGAATTTTTTATGGATGCCCAGCTCGTCGCAGAACTGTTTGAACTCCTCGTTGTCAAATTGCTTTCCATTGTCCGAGATGAGGGTGTGGGGAATTCCGTAGCGGCACACTATGCTCTTGAAAACGAAGTCCTTCAGCTTTCTGATTGTGATCGCGGCCAGTGGTTCGGCTTCCACCCATTTCGTGAAATAATCTACCGCGACCACAGCATACTTGACCCCGCCCTTTCCAACTGGCATGGGACCAATAAGGTCGATCCCCTACATGAAAAATGGCCAGGGGCTAGACATGGTTATCAGCTCGTGCGAGGGGGCTCGCGGAATGTTCGCGAACCGCTGGCACTTGTCACATTTTTTGACAAAATTGTGCATATCTTCCTGGATCCGGGGCCAATAATATCCTTGACGAACAACCTTGTTCGCAAGAGATCGAGCAGTCGTATGGTTACCGCAGATCCCTTCATGAATCTCCCTCATGATGTAGTCTATTTCTTCACTGGTTACACATCGGAGGAGAGGGGCACTGAATCCTCTCCTGTAGAGTTGGTCCCCAATGAGTGTGTAACGAGCAGATCTTACTCGCAGGACCGTTGCCTCGACCTTGTCACTTGGCAAGGTCCCATCCTTGAGGTATTGAATAATGGGAGTCATCCAGGAATCTGGTTGGGTCACGTTTACGGCTTGTTCGATCGAGCTGGTAGTTGGAGCATCGACGAAACAAACAGGAATGTTGTCTGGAGCCTCTGAGTCCTACGACGAGGCTATCTTTGCCAAGATGTCCGCTATAGAGTTGCTATCTCTAGGGATCTGAGTGATTTCAAAGTGCTTAAACGACCCCAAAGCGGTCTTAGCCTCTTTCAGGTAGCGGACCATGTTCTCTTCCTTGGCTTGGTATTCCCCTAGAATTTGGTTGACGACCAGCATAGAGTCGCTGTAAATGCTGATCGCGGTTGCACCCATTTCTTTGGCAAGTCGCAACCCGGCGAGTAGGGCCTCATATTCTGCCTTATTATTGGTCGCCTTAAACCCGAACCGGAGAATACCATGAATTCGAGCCCCTTCGGGGCTTACAAGGAGGAGACCCGCACCGGCTCTTTTCCTGTTCGATGATTGGTCGATGTAGAGGTTCCAGGTCAACAGGTTCTGCATACTTTCTTGCACGACCTCGCTGGGCTGTTGCTCGCTCGGGAGATAGGAAAATTCTGAGATGAAGTCTGCAACAGCTTGGCCTTTGATGGTTGACCTGAGCTTGTACTTCAGGTCGAATTGGCTCAGTTCCATGGCCCATTTGAGCAGCTTACCCGAGGCTTCTAGTTTCTGGAGGATCTATCTGAGGGGGTAATTAGTCATAACGTTGATTGTATGGGCATGGAAGTAAGGTCGCAGCTTTCTGGACGCGATCAGCAGAGCAAAGGCTAGTCTCTCCATTTCTGGATAGCGCATTTCGGCATTCGATAAACGCTTGCTTGCATAATAGACTGGCCACTGCACCTTTTCCTCTTCCCACACTAAAGCTGCACTGACCGCGAACTGAGAGACGGACAGATAGATGAGCAGGATTTCCTGTGGAAGAGGCTTAGAGAGGAGAGGTGGCTTCCCTAGGTGTTCTTTTATACTATGGAATGCCTGTTCGCATTCGGGAGTCCATTCGAATTTCTTGTTCGCCTTCAGAACATTGAAGAATGGTAAGCAGCGGTCTGTCATCCTTGATATGAAGCGACTAGGTGCCGCTATCTGCCCATTTAGACTCATGATCTGCTTCTTGCTGGTCGGGCTCTCCATATCGAGCAGGGCCTGGATCTTCTCGGGGTTTATTTCTATGCCTCGCTGATTAACCATATACCCTAGGAACTTTCCCGACGACACTCCGAACGAACACTTGAGAGGATTTAGCTTCATTCTGTAGAGTCGGAGAATGTCAAACATCTCAGCGAGATGCGCAATGTGTTCTAAGGCGACCTGGGATTTGACCAGCATATCGTCCATATAGACTTCCATTGTCTTCCCGATCTGGTCGGAGAACATTCGGTTGACCAACCTCTGATAGGTCGCGCCCGCATTCTTGAGACCGAAAGGCATAACTTTGTAACAATATAGCCCCCGATCCGTAATGAAGGACATATGCTCCTCATCCAGCCCATACATCAGGATTTGATTGCTCAGCAGCTCGTGCCCTGAGGTGGCATCAACGAGCTGGTCGATCCTCGGCAGAGGGAAGCTGTCTTTCGGGCAAGCTTTGTTGAGGTCGCTGAAATCAACGCAGGTCCGCCACTTGCCGTTCGGCTTCTTTACCAGGACCGGGTTGGCGACCCAGGTCGGATAGAGCGCCTCTTGGATGGACCCATTTCGGAGGAGGTTTTCCACTTCCGATTTTAGTGCGACGTACCGCTCTGGGTCCATCGCTCTTCTTTTTTGGCGAACTGGTCTGGCTTCACTACTAATGTTTAATGAATGGCAAATAATGTCCGGGCTGACCCCGACCATATCTGCATGCGACCAGGCAAACGCGTCAATGTTTTCCTTTAAGAAGTCTTGCAGCTCGGAAGCGAGCTGAGGGTTGAGACAGCTCCCAATCCCTAATACTCTGCTTGGCTCTTTTGGATCAACCGAAACTTCGGTCAAATCCTCAACCAGGCCACTAGGAGGAATTTCCTGAACTCATGGATCTATGTTATCTCCGCTGGACCGGGCTGTGGCTTGACCCGACTGATCGCCATAGTCTGGCGGGGCACACATCGCGAAATGCCCTTTCCCTTGTCTGCCATTTGTACCGCTTTTATATAGCATTCACGAGATGCGCTTTGCGATCCGCTTACTTCCCCTATCCCTGTTGGAGTGGGGAATTTCATCTTGAGGTGGTAAATGGAAGTGACTGCCTTGAAGCTTCTCAACAGAGGTCGCCCCAAGATTCCATTAAAGGCCGATGGGCAGTCTACGACCAGAAATTCGGTAACCCTAGTCACCTCGTCGTAGTCGTCGAGCGTGACTGGTAGCTGGATTGTTCCTTTGGGGATCAGGTGGTCCCCTGTAAATCCGTAGAGAGGTATCGAGGCGGGCTTTAGGTCGGCCTCGTCTAGGTTCATTCTATCAAAAGCGGTCTTGAACAGGATGTTCACAGCGCTTCCGTTGTCTACAAGCATTCTGCAGACATTATGGCACCCTATTAGGGGCGTGATCACCAGAGCGTCCTCATGAGGATGGTGCAAGCGAGCTGCTTTCTTCTCGCAGAAGGTGATCGGTTCCTCCTCTCTAGCCTTTTGAGGTCGCTGCGAAGTGTTCATTACCCTGATCGGGTCGTGATATGCTTCGCGAGCGTACCTTTCCTACGCTCCCCACATGTTTCCAGCGAGGTGCAGACCTCTGAAGATTATGTTAACACTGCTGTATCCACTGCGATCACGACGCTTTTTCTTTTACTCCCCTTGGCTCTCTTTTGGAGAGTCATCAATGTACTCCTTGAAGTGCCCTTTCTTGATGAGCTCTTCGATAGCCTGCTTTAGAACTCGGCATTCATCGGTGTGATGCCTGTTATCCCAATGGTAATGGCAGTATTTTTTGCTATTTCTGGCCGTAGCAGGAGTTTTCATTGGTTCCGGCTCACCGAGCAGGCTGGCCTCCTCGGATTTGTCAAGAATGGCAGATATGGACACGTTCAGCGGAGTGTATTGAGCTCTGTCACGGTCGCGACAAGGAACGGGAGCATAGGACTTTTTGTGCTCGTAACGGGGTTTCTTCCCTTTTCGCTGATCATCAATATCTCCTTTGCGATCAGCTTTCCTATTTTCTCCCCGACTAGACATACTGCTGGAAGTGCCGTGATCGCGACGGCGAAGTGCCGCCAACGAATTCTGTATTCGGAGATACTTTTATGCAAGGTTGTAAAACCCGATGAGGGAAACATCGTCCTCAGCCTGCAGTTCTTTCCACAGGTCGGTTTGCGGCCAAACTCCAGCTATTATGAGTGTTCGGATGGACTTTTCTGGAGCGTGAGCGACCTTGTTGAGTTCCCTGTGGAAACGGTCGATGTAAGATTGTAGGGATTCGTCTCTTTCTTGCCTTATGTTGCTGAGGTAGCTCAAAGGCATCGAAAACTTCTGATTAGCTTGGAAGTGCCGTAGGAATGTCGTGCTCATCTGAGGCCACGAACTGATCGATCCCGCTGGGAGCGACCTCAACCACCGCTTGGCGTGAGAAGTCAGCGTCACGGCCAAACAACGACATTTTGCAAGATCCGAAACCTGGTGGAGCTCCATCAGGTCGTTGAACTCATATAAATGATCCGCAGGATCATGGTTCCCATCAAATGGCCGCATATCGGGCATTCTGAACCCCGGTGGGAGCGGAGCAGCTAGCACTTCGGGAGAGAAAGGGGATGCAGAGGCGACCTGAGCCTGTTCGTTTTGCTGCTCCCTTAACCTGTCCAGAGCTCGCTGTAGCTCCTCAATTTGTGGTAACGGAGCCAATTGGGGGTTGCTTTCACCCATGCGAGTCCGGCCTTCGCGATTACAGTTTAGGAGGGTCTGTAGGTCGGATTCCTCTTCGCCTTGATCGACATTTCCGGCCATACTCGACACACGCTGGCTAGAGGTGTGTGAAGGCGATGGATCGTGCGGGGCATTTTCACGACCCTCGCGGTGGTACGAACCGCCCCGCGAGGTATGGGGACCACCCGCATGATAACGATCGGGGGATCGTTTTGCTGGCGGCGATAAGAATCATCGCGCGCGGCATTTTTGCTTGGGTTCGCCTGCGACATGGCATGGGACTGCTTGGGATTCACTTTTTTGCCGAGTCTCAGCTTTACCGGCACCCTGCTCGGGGCACGATTTGTGCTCGCTGGTCCCTGGGGGCCCGTAGGCTGACCTTTTGCCACTTGCTTGCCCTTACGTTTACGCGCTGCAGTGCTCGCGGCACAGGCTATTGCCCTTTGCCGCGCTTTCGCGCGACCTGCAGACGTCTTTGGCGGTTGCACCGCCCTAGCTATTGTAGATGACATGCCTTGGTCCAAATGGTCCAACCTTTGGTTGACCGTCTGGAGAGTATTGTCGAACCTCTCCAGGTAGTTTCTGATGGCAGGGTCGAGTTGTGAAGCTGCCGGGATATCCCCCGCAGCATTTTGCGAAACTGGAACTTCTTCAGTACGCTGATTAGCTTGCTCTGGCTAAGATTGGCGGGCCATTTGCTGTTGTAGGACCAGTAGGTCAAAGATTCTCCTGATGAAGGGTAGACACTAAATCAGACTCTCCTTCTAACGCCAAACTGTTGATGCGTGATTTAGACACCAACTAATTGACACGTGCGCAGCGTTGATTGGGCTAGGAACACACGTGAATATGGATTGTCAATATGAAATAAATGCAATGAGAGTTTTTATAGTGGTTCGGATGCTAAGGTAGCAGATCCTACATCCACTGATTTGTATTAATATGGTGGGTCAGGTCGCTAAAGCGGGCTGACTTACAAATGATTGAAAAGTCAATACAAAGCTTTGTTTAGTGAGAGAGAGAATACAAATGTAAAATGATCCAATCCCTTTAATGAAGGGGTCTTCCTCTTCTTATACCAAGCTAAATGCGTGTAATGATCATTAAATCCTTGGGTTGGTGTGTGTGTCAGGATGTAATCTGGCTTTACGTCCCATTACCCATTTTCCAAGCCGATTTCACGCGATTTGGAGCAGGTTAGCGGACACGTGGGAGCACCAGGGTGTTTGACAGGCCTGACGTGCGCTTACCGTTCTGACGAGAGCAGGCCACGTTTCGTCACGCAACTCCACGTCAGCCTTTGATTTCTCAGGCATAACACAAGTCTTTCATGTTAGGCGCTCATTACTATTCTTTGTATAGCGTACAATTGAAAACATAAATTTGTGGCTGTTATATGATCTTGACTATATTAAGTTTTCAAAATTCTTAAGTTTTGATAAGGGTAGGATATCGTTAAAATTCTGAAGTCTTGATAGGGGTAGGATATTTGTTAGAATTCTTAAGTCTTGTCGGGGATAAGCAAATGGTAGAGAGACAAGTTTTGCTCATATCGAAGTTGATTATTATAAAATTCGTTTTAAGTCTTTCATGTTAGGCACTCATTACTACTCTTTGTATAGCGTATTATTAAAAACATAAATTTGTGGCCTTGACTATATTAAGTTTTTCAAAATTCTTTAGTCTTGATAAGGGTATGTAGGATATCGTTAAAATTCTGAAGTCTTGATAGGGGTAGGATATTCGTTAGAATTCTTAAGTCCTATCGGGGGTAAGCAAATGATAGGGAGACAGGTTGTGCTCAATCGTAGTCGATTATTATAAAATTTATTTTAAGTCTTTCATGTTAGGTGCTCATTTTAAAAACATGAAAAACTCAAGAGTCAAAAGCTATATGTATGTTAAATTACTCCCAAGAACAACTTAACATGTTATCTCAAACTTTTTATACCCAATCCATATCTTCTAAATATAAGAGGGTTTCTAAAATACTCCTAAAAATTAACATTTGATTAATAATTTTAGAAAACCTAAGAAACTAACCCTTTATTTGTTTTAATATTTTGCAAGATGATAAAATCAGAAAATTAGAATAAATATTGTCGTTTTCTATTTTAATGGAGGTTTTCATATAATATACCTGAAATATGTGTATCAAAATTCTTACGTCTTGAGAGGGTAAGAAATGGTAGGTGGACGAATTTTGCTCAAATTTTTTTTCACACTCTCAACAAAACCGTGTTTCACACTCTGAAGACTGAACAAAATGAAAAAGCCTTTGCTTTCAGTCTTTTAGAGCGTCTTGCACGGCGTCTAAAGAACAAATTGACCTCATATTATTGCATCACCACTGTATTATCAATGCCAAAACATCATACGCCCCTCAAACAAAATGTCAAAGTTTACCACGATTTCACTAACAATCCTACTCTGCAACCTTCTCTTCCTCTTCCATGGCCATGCAAACTCCCAACTGTATAATGAAGAACGTGCAGTGCTAATGAAACTAAAGCAACATTGGAAAAATCCACTACCCATCACTCACTGGACCCCATCCAACACCAATCACTGCTCCTGGCCTGAAATCATCTGCACTCGCAATTCCATCACCCGACTTTACCTCAACAACACCAGCATCTCCCAAACAGTCCCATCCTTCATTTGTGACCTTAAAAATCTAACCGTGCTGGACCTGCATTACAACGATATTTCGGGAGAATTTCCAAGAGTTCTCTACAGCTGTTCTAAGCTTGAGTATCTAGACCTCTCTCAGAACTACTTTGTTGGTCCCATACCTGATGATATTGACAGCTTGTCTCAGCTCCGTCACTTCAGTCTAGGCTCCAATAACTTTTCACTCGACATTCCTGCAAGTGTTGGGAACTTAACGGAGCTTCGGGTGCTTCAGCTTTATCGGAATCAGTTCAATGGTTCTTTCCCACCTGAAATTGGCAGTCTGCACAACCTTGAAATATTAGAATTGGCATATAATACAAAATTTGTGCCATCAAAGTTGCCTTCAAATTTCTCGCAACTGAGAAACCTGAAGACTTTGTGGATGACTGAATCAAATTTGATTGGTGAAATTCCTGAATCTATTGGCAATATGACTGCGCTTGAGTGGCTGGATATATCACAAAATCGTTTGAGCGGGAAAATTCCCAGCGGTGTTTTCATGCTGAAGAATTTAAGAATTTTATATCTTTACAGAAACATGTTGTCGGGGCAGATTCCACAGGTTGTTCAGTCATTGAACTTGACTGCCATTGATCTCTCAGAGAGCAATTTGACTGGGACAATACCAACTGATTTTGGGAAGCTTGAAAATTTGTCAGGCTTGATTTTGATGTTCAATAAATTATCTGGCGCAATTCCAGAAAGCATTGGGCGGATTCCAACTTTGAAAGATGTCAGATTGTTTAAAAACAATTTATCAGGTGCTCTTCCTCCAGACTTTGGTCGATATTCAGCACTTGAAGATTTCGAGGTTTCATCCAATAACATTTCAGGAAAGCTGCCTGAACACTTATGTGCTGGAGGTAAGTTGGTCGGACTAGTAGCTTTTGATAACAATCTTAGTGGAGAATTACCTGAATCTCTTGGGAATTGTAACAGTTTGTTAATGATTAGCATTTACAACAATGGTTTTACTGGGAAAATTCCCGTGAGGTTATGGACGGCATCGAATTTGTCGCATGTGCAGATAAGTGATAATAAGTTTACAGGTGAGCTTCCTGATAAAATGTCAAGGAATCTCTCCCTTCTTCAGATGAGCAACAATATGTTTTCTGGTAGAATTCCGGCTGGAGTGAGTTCTTGGACGAATCTGCAAAAATTTAATGCCAGTCATAACCTTTTTAGCGGCACAGTTCCAAGAGAATTAACTGCTCTTCCTGCTTTAACTATTCTTTGGCTCGATCAAAACCAACTCTCTGGCACCCTCCATCAGATGTGATCTCATGGAAGAGGCTTACTACTTTAAACCTTGGTGGAAATCAGCTCTCTGGAGAAATTCCAGAGGAAATCCGTTCTTTACCTGTCCTTAATGATTTGGACTTGTCAGAAAACCAATTTTCTGGACAAATCCCACGTCAACTTGGTCTCTTGAGGCTCACCTCCCTCAACCTCTCTTCCAATCATCTCATTGGAGAAATCCCAAGTGAGTTCGAAAATGGTGCATATGCCAGTAGCTTCTTGAACAATCCTGGTCTCTGCGCACGGAGCTCATTCATAAACCTCAAAATCTGCAGGTTTCCACCCCAAAAATCAAGAAATTTTTTATCCAAAGAATTCGTGTCGATACTAAGTGCAGTCGTTGCCGTCTTTTTGTTGGCCTTGGTACTGTTATCCTTCATGTTCAGAGCTTACGGCAAGAGAGAAAATCGACTGAATACTACATCGGATATGAAGATGACTAAATTCCAGGATTTGAATTTCACAGAAAATGATATTCTGACTAAAGTGAAAGAAGAAAACGTGATTGGAAGTGGTGGTTCTGGAGAAGTGTACCGTGTTCCTGTAAATAGTTCTGGTGATGTTGTTGCCGTGAAAAGAATTTGTAATAACCAAAAGTTAGATCAAAAACAGGAGAAACAATTTTTAGCAGAAGTTGAGATACTAAGTAATATTAAGCATTCGAACATAGTAAAACTGCTTTGCTTCATTTGCAATGAGAATTTAAAATTTCTGGTGTATGAGTATCTGGAAAATCATAGCCTGGATTTTTGGCTGCATCAAAAGAATCTGTCATCAATTCTTTCTGGCTCTGGCTCTGGCTCAGTGCATCATCCTGTCCTGGACTGGCCCAGGAGGATACAGATTGCAGTGGGGGCTGCCCAGGGACTCTGCTACATGCACCATGACTGCTCCCCGCCCATCGTCCATCGAGATGTGAAATCAAGCAATATCCTGCTGGATTCGGAGTTCAATGCAAAAATAGGAGATTTTGGTCTAGCTAAGACCTTGATGAAGGATGGAGAACTTGCCACAATGTCATCTGTGGCTGGCTCATGTGGTTACATTGCTCCAGGTGCATGATATGTCTTTCAAATATTAGAGCTACTCGTTTGTAGATAAAGTGAAATTTCATCCCTTTACATTAAGCAAAAATTCCAGTTGATCATTTTAACTATTACTTTTTGTGTTTCTAACATGTAGAGTATGCTTATACAACGAAAGTGAACGAGAAGACAGACATTTATAGCTTCGGGGTCATCCTTTTGGAACTGACAACAGGAAGAAAAGCTAATGGTGATGAGGATACGTGCCTCGCCAAATGGGCGTGGCGTTACCTTCAAGAAGGTAATCCTGTAATTGACGCTTTGGATGAGGCGATGAGGAAACATTGCTACTTGGATGAAAATGAGTCGAGTATTTGAACTTGGCATCCATTGTACAAGCAACCAACCTTCTGATAGGCCCAACATGAGGACTGTTTTGCAAATCTTATTCAACTGTCATTCTGAGTCCAGAAAGAAGAATGCAGCAAGTAAACACGATACGTTTTCAGTCCTGACAAATTCAGAACAGGGGACGATGTCAAAATGTGATGATGCTGTTGTGAGTCTTTAATGTGATTTTAATGGCTTGATTTTCTGAATAATGAGTTGTGTCAGTTTGGTTCCATATAAAATCTATGTCAATAATGGGGGTAGTTAATGATGTATTTATAAGCTTAGTTACTATTTGTATATGTCAAGGTCAATGGTATTTACACCCTATGGTGCGTTTGGTTCGCAGTCATATGAGATTACGTCGGTAATCTTCGTTTAATTTTCAAGATTCCCTTGTTTGGTTTACAAGTAATAAAATATTAAAGTACTTTTTTGTTGCAAATAGTATTTACTGTTGGTAATATAAGGGGCAATCAGATTACCTTGCTAGAGAGTATTACTAAAAGATTATCGAGGTAATATGATTTTTATATCTATTTTGCCCTTAATTAAATACAATTTCGAACATAATTGCCCTTAAATGTCTACCAAATAACCATTATCTAGACTCCTTACATTTGAGAATTTAGCTAAAACACCGCAGCCACAAAAATATTTAAAAGTTAACAAAATACCCCTAACCACCCAAGACCACCGTCGATTTGGCTGTTTCCGACATTCAATCTGGTAAAAAATAACCAGATCATGGCCACATCTTTGGTCGTGAAACAACCTTATCAGTACACGATCGGCCAGATTTAATCGGTTGTGCGCCATTCGGGCGACTATCAATGGCATCGGTGGTGGTGTCTGGCTGACGACAGTGGCTTGGGGTAGGTGGGGGTAATTTTGCTATAAATTAAAGTTTTATATAACTGTGGTATTTTAGCAAAATTTCAAATGTTGGGTTTTAAAAGAAATGGTTCAATAAATAATAATAAAAATAATATTATATTAATACTTTAAAAGGAGGGCAATTTAGTAATTCACATAACATACTCACTCATTTACCTCCCAACCAAACATATCAATATATCATATCCTCCAATTTATTCCAACCTAAGCAAACACATTTCCCTAAACACTCTCAGTAATCTATCTTTCCATTAATATAATATTTCCAGTAATACAACATTCCCTGAACCAAATGCACCCCTAAAGTTAAGGATTTTCATTTTAGAGGCTTCTCAACCTTTTAGAACATAGTACAATCAGTACCGCTCATCGGTAAGAATTAAGAAATGAATATTTAATGACTTTTGTAAGCATTCGAGTGACAATTTGACATTCTTAGTTGAGATATTCATACTTCAACCCTCTGCAATACCCTAACAGAAGCACTGTTTTAAAACCTAGACCAGACTGATCGGTCGGACCGGTTGAACCGGGACCCGATAGGTTCTCTAGTCCGGTTCAGGTTTCAGGGGTTTTTTGTAATATTTCAAATTTATAGGGATTACTTCTAATTTTCCAGGGCTGTTTTAGAGATATGTCAAAAGTTTAGGGATAAATTGGTAATTTTAGGGAGTAATTTATTTTTTTTTAGGATTATTTGTAATATATTAAAATTTAATGGATTTATTATAATATTTTAAAAATAAAATTATTGCTGACGTCATTGGTGGCCTGTCCAACCAATTGAACCGGTCGACCCATGACCCGATAACCTTATCGGGTCTCACAATGGGTTGGGTTTTATAACAATGAACAAAAGTTAAAAGAGTTTGAAACGATGGATGAAAACTACATCAGTAATTTAGGCTGTGTATGTTTTATTATTTTGAGTAGTATTTTTGAAAAAGTTGAGTTGGATTATTATTACGAGGATATGATTTGAATTTGAAAATGTGTTTGGTAAGATTATTTTTTAATTCCCTACATTTGTTAATTTAGTTAAACACCCCTTACAATAAAAGTTTTAAAATTAACAAAAATACCCCCGTCTACGCATTGAATGCTGGCAGCCGGTCACCACCATCGAACAATGGCCGAAAGTTACTGAAATGATGCACAACAGGCTGAATGTGGCCGGTTCAAGGTGTTTAGTTAAATTAATAAATCTAGGGGATTAAAAAAATATAATTATTTTGAGTTGAATAGAATAAGATTGGATTTTAAGAATAAGAAAACAAATATGTATTTTGGATAGGATGGAAATAAGATAAGAAAAAATAACAAAACAAACTCAACCTAATCTTTTTATGCTCAGCTCAGGTAGAATTAGGACCTCAAAAGTTGTAATCACAGCGCTGGCCAGAGCCTTGATGAACGTACCTTAGTTTGTGAGAAAGGAACTCACATCTAAATTCGGCCAGGTGGGGTTCGGGGTTCCTCATAATCAGTAGGCACAAATGACCAGCAAAAAAGAGTCGGTTTAGAGAAATAGAACAGTAACATTCGCAATTCTCAAATAATTTTTATTACCCTGAAAAGAGAACAAAGAGTTTTTGCTGCATGCCGCGAACCCCTTGCCCCAAAAGGAAAAAAGAAAAAAAATCAGTTCTTAGATTGCACAAAAGTCAAAACACGCTGCAACTGCCAAAAGAATCCTGTTCAAAGAGAGAATGTTCCGCCAAAAGTAACAACTCAAAAAGAAGAGTTTACATCTCCCATTTTATTCTTTAATTGGGGAGAAATTATCTTATACACTTGTTCCCAGCCATTGGAGGAGATTAAAAAAAAAAAAAAAAAGGGATATAAAAGCAGAATGACAGGCCACAGCCCGAAGCTAGCAGCCAACGACTGGGTACCTTGATTGCACAATCGATCCATTACTCATTAGACACGCCATATGACCATAAATTAGGGCGTCTAGCGTGATGGGTGTAAAGAAGCTCAAAATAAAGCCCAGAGAGATAAAATAAACCGCAAATGTACAAAGTTAAATTGTTGAAAATGACTCATCGACACCAAGGCATTGGGAGTGAGAGGCTGCAAGGAGTGCAGCTGCCAGAACCGTCATTTGAGTGCTCAATTGTGATGGTCTCAGAGACTTCCTCTCCCAGCATCTCCTTGACCGTGCTTTTCATGCAACCACTGAATTTCGTGTAGTGCTCATACAACCCGCCATCTAAAGCTATTACTGACTTCTGCTTTTCCCCATCTTTCACTGTGTCTCTGCCCAATTTTTGCTGCTAATAGTAATAGTTAAGTTCTAAATGGTGATCACTGTGCTCTTGGGTGAATCTTGTTTGAAGCAATATTTTTCTTACATAAAAATAAGACAATAAAAACAGATATGGGAAGCTTTCACTTGAAACCGAGAGTTTTTAAGTTCTTTGGCTTATTTATCTGATCCAAACAAAAAAGTTTTCCTGAGAAGAGAAATATAAAAATAACCAATAGGCTAGAAAAATAATTTTCCTGGGCTTTCGTCCAACATTATTGACCAGGTATAATACCTCTAATATATCCTTTAATTTTGTCCCAACCACTCTCAAATCTGAAGATGTATCATGATGCATTGCGGACATGTCTGGAGTCCTGCATGTTCCATAATAACAATGTAACAGCTACAGAAGCACAAATATAAATGACAAATCAATGGGTGTATACTATTTCTAACGGGAAAAAATTAATTCTACAATACATATACCTGAATAAAAGGCATGCTAAAGATCACGCATTCCTACAAACATGATTAAACATGTAGCTGAAAATACATTCATTAACAGCCACAAATTGAGTATAAATGCAACATCATAATAAATTGTAACCTATTTAATTCTAAGAATAATATGTTTAATCTAGAATATTCTGAATGCCAAGAGGCCATAGAACAAGTTTGTTTGCAGTTAGAGGTTACATATCAATGTAGTGATGTCTTTCTTATATGGATTGCAGTGGACTTTCTTCATAAAAATGAACAACTTATTATGAAAATGAAAAGATAAGTTTTGACTGTTAAGTAACCATTAATTCTAAAAAATTAAGCTTCTAAGAAATGACAACATTAGTATCTAAGCCTGATCAAGTTATTCCATACTCAGAACTGAATTTAATTAATGGACTCATCATGCAGATCCTAACATGCACAAACACAAGTAAATCCAAATAGAGGAAATACATGACCAAAAAGAAGGTATATAAATTTGAATAGAAAGAGATATGATAGCAGATAACCCACAAACAAATGGCACACCTCAGTATGAATGGAATTTTCAGTTTTGGTGGAACAGTATCACCAAAAAAAGCAGCTTCTTCAGCCATCTGGCACAAAACTCTGCGCACAATTTCTCCCAAATACATACCAGAGATCACTTTTTCAAAAATCTGCAAGTAACAGTCAATGATGTTATGAGTCCATTACCACTATGGCACACTATGGCACTATATATACATGAACATCTCTTATGCCTAAAAAAATCAGAGCTGATGCAAGCTTACGTCAACAAGGACCAATCAGAGTTCAGAAAGGCTTTATGCCGCCCAAGCGCTACCACGTCGTCCAAGGACAGAAGGAGTAAGGCTGCCATCAACTTAGCAGGTAAAGCTTTGGCTAGTCAGTGGCTGGGAGTCACCCACCTGCCCAAGCCCTGTGCGATTTAAGGATATCTCATGTGCAATCAGCCAATAAGAAGCAGGGTATGAATTGTATAGCACCTGCCTGTTTACGAACTTGTAATCATTACCCAGAAACCTCTTACTATAAATAGAGGGCTCTCCTCTCATTTTCGGGATTCTTATAATATTCTGATAACCAAAAAACACTTACTCTCCCTCTCTGTATTTCTATTCTCTAATCACTATACGCGACCTGATTGTAATCTCCCATTTATAAAAAATAGTGGATGTAGGATTTGCTGAGAGCATCCGAACCACTTTAAAAATCATCTCTCATTTTATTTATTTCATTTCCAGTTCAAGTGTAGTTCCTAAGTTACCTTAGCGCTTTGCACGTGCGAATAGTTGGTTTCAAAATCCAACATCGACAATCTCAAACTAGAATAGGGAAGAAAATATAGCTACCTGTTCTCTAGGGTTCTAGCTTTCGACATCCAATGCTTGATCATATTCTGTTAGCGGAAGGTACGATGACCAGAAGTTACCCCACTCCATGTTGATAACCTATAGCTATCAACATTCTTTTAGAAACAGAACATAGTTCACCATGAAATGATGATATTAGTTCACAACACATGAAAATTTACAACAAACATTTGAGAAGTACTAACCATTTCCCCTGATTTAGGTAGAAGGCCATGCCACTTAGAAATAGCATGTGCTCGTTCTACATATGCTGCATTAGTTCCTGTACCCAAGATTACGGCAGCAACCACATCCTGATTTGAGTATCTACCTCCAGCTAATGTTCCAATAGTATCATTCACCTGCATCTCACAGTATGTAAAGAAACCCACACAACCAAGGAGACATTTGAAATAAGAAAATATCTACATGCAATATTATAAAGAACATTACTCAGAGAAGAGAAGAAACGAAGAACTGAACCAAACTGGACTTACCAAAGTTACAACACGCATATCAAGACTAGCTCTTTCCATTGCTTTAGTCAATTCTCCAACTACATCTTGTCCAACCTACAACAGCCAAGATGGACCACAAAAAATAACTAAGTTCAAATATTATATTAGACACATTGAAAAGGTGATAAATTATTTAATACAGCCATACATACAATAGAAACTATATACTATCATATCATGTTGAAATTTAACTGATGCATTTTAGACTAGCAATATCAGGATTATCATTGCACAGATATTATGAAGACATTGCCTACCTACGAAACCTGAGCATACTTCAAACATTCAAGAATATGTATTAGAAATAAAACAAACAACCGCCGTGCAGCCATTATTACCCAGATACCCAAAACCTCTCTCTCAAGTCAACACATTAATTGCATGGCTACTAACATACATTTCCATGTGAGGCCCACTATCTACAACTTGCATGAGGGTCCAAAACTCAACCAGCACAAATAGTTTTTATTAACTTCCTTCTGCAGCTCCACATTGTATCCCTTCAGCTTTTGGACAATAGAATTATACCTCATCTGCATGTGGATGGGCATTATACTACATGTAATGTCTATAATTTTTTTTTTTTTTGTTTTTCCCCTTCTTTTTCACGACTCAAATGATTTTTGTTTTATCTAGATTACAACTTAATTCTGTTCTTTCGATAATGGATATGTTTTAGAGAGCAAAAGAAACAGAGGAAAGCTGAAAATTGGGGCAGAATATCGACGGACTTTATTGAATAAAAATGGTTTCTTATATTCAAGCTTAGGAACTCTAGTTACATTTGAGCTAAGCTGAAGTAAGCAAAACTAACTACTAACCAACTCTAACAACTAACCAATCCGATTAACCAAAATAACTTACAACCTGCTTTGACTAAACTACCCTTATATTTGTAATACCCCCCCTCAAGTTGGAGGGTGGTAAAGATCCAGCACCCCCAACTTGTACAACAGATGATAATGAAGATGCTTGCCGAGGGCTTTAGTCAAAATGTCAGCAGGCTATTCAGAGGAAGAGATATGGGCAGTGCTGATGAGTCCCTTCTTAAGCTGCTCCTTGACTATATGACAATCAATGTCAATGTGCTTGGTTCTTTCATGGAACATGGGGTTGGAAGCAATGTGGTTGGCTGCTTGATTGTCACAATGTAGAGTAATAGGAAGCAAACTGGACAGACCAAGTTTGTTGAGTAGCTGAACAATCTAAAGAATTTCACAAACCGTAGATGTCATAGCCCTATACTCAGCCTCTAAAGAAGATTTGGAGATGGTAGCTTGGCGTTTGGATTTCCAAGAAATCAATGCAGAACCGAGAAACACGCAGAATCCAATAATGGATTTTCTAGTCATCAAACAAGACCCCCAATCAAAGTCACTATAAGCTGACAGATTCAAGGTGTTGGCAGCAGGGAAAAATAAGCCTAAACTTGGAGCCGATTTCACATACTTTATCACCTTGAGAGTTGCTGTCATATGTGATTGCTTGGGTTGGTGCATGAACTGACTTAAAATGCTGACTGAATAGCTTAGATCAGGCATGGTCATGCACAAATATAAAAGCTTTCCAACCAATCTCTAATAAACAAAGGGGTCAGCAAGCAAAGGATCAGTACCAAAAGGAAATTGACTATCATATGCTGCCGAAGTAAGTTTCAAATTGGACTTCATTGGAAGAGCAGAGGGTTTGGAGCCAGACAAGCCAGAGTCAGAGATTAATTCAAGTGCATACTTGCTCTGACATAGGCTGATTCCTTTAGAAGATTAAGCCACTTAAAGGCCTAAGAAATATCTGAATCCTCCCAAGTCTTTTAGCTTAAATTTGGACTTGAGCAACTCCTTAGTTTGATCAATCATGGCCTGATTATCTCCAATTATTACAATGTCATCTACATACACTAATAATATGACAATATGAGATTGATCTCGTCTAAAAAACAATGAATAATCTGACTTGGACTGTTGGAATCCTCCATCCAAAAGGGCTATGGTTAGTTTATAATTCTAGACTCTAGAGGCCTGTTTCAAACCATATAAAGACTTATGAAGCTTGCATACCATGTCTTGCTCCCCTGCTTTGTAAAACCCTGTGGCAATGTCATATAAATCTCTTCTTGCAAATCACCTTGCAAGAATGCACTGTCAACAACTAATTGGAAAAGTGGCCAATTATTCATGGAAGCCAAGGCCAAGATGGTCCTAATTGTAACCATTTTCACAACTGGAGAGAAAGTTTTGGCATAATCAATACTGATCTGCTGTGTATATCCCTTAGCAACCAAACGTGCCTTGTATCTTTCCAATGTACCATCAGTCTTGTATTTGAGTTTATAAACCCATTTACAACCAATAGGGACCTTGCCATGAGGCAAAGGTACTAAAGACCAGGTTCAATTATGCTCTAAGGCCTGGATTTCTTTATCCATGGTTGCTATCCAATTCGGGTCCTTGGAAGCTTGGGAAAAGCTTGTGGGTTCAAACAAGGATAGTTTGGATAAAAAAAGCCTTATAAGAGGGTGATACATGATTATAAAAAACAAAATCAGCAACGGGATATTTGGAAAGATGTGTTGAAGTATTTTGAGGTAATGTAGGACAAATAAAATCATTAGTCCAAATACGAGGATGAGATTGTTAGCTAGACCTTCTTGGAACAGAAGAAATTGGAGGTTCAACATGATGGGATAGTTCTAAATGTGAAGGATCAGACCCTAAACAAGGAGCTGAAGGAGATACACGGGAAACAATAGGAGTTGGAGGAGTTGATCCTTGATCAACAGGGGAATAAGTGTCTGAAGAAGAGGACATATTAGGCTCTAGAACAAAGAAATCAGATTCAGGAGGACAAGGAACTTGGGAAGACTTAGGTAAGGCAAAAGGAAAAATGTGTTCATAGAACACTGCATCTCGGGTGACAAAGATAGTATGAGAGGATAAATTGTAGAGAATATATCCTTTTTGTGTAAGAGAGTAAATAAGAAAACAGTAGGAACAACTGATCTAGGGGATAATTTGTCCTTAGAAGAAAGGATTGATGCATAGTCCAAAGATCCAAAAACCCTTAAATGATCCAATGTGGGAGGTTTTGAAAAAAAAAAAAGGCTTTAAAAGGAGACAAACCTTTAAGAACAAGTGTTGGCAATCTATTAATAATATAGACTGTAGTTTGAACACAATAACCCCAAAAATGAGTAGGAATGTGAGACTGAACTTTCAATGCCCTAGCAACCTCTAGAATGTGTCTATGCTTTCTCTCAACAATGCCATTTTGTTGAGGAGAATATGGACAAGAGCTTTGATGTATAATTCCCTTACTACTTAAAAGGTCATGACAATCCTTATTGAAGAATTCTAAACCATTATCACTTCTAATGCATTTAGGAACCAAGTGGTATTGTGTTTGAACCATTGAAGGAAGTGTTTAAGAGTGATAAAGGTATCGGATTTGAATTGCATGAGAAACAACCAAGTGACCCTATAATGATCATCAATGATTGTGAGAAAGTATCGGGCATTCCCATGAGTAGGTGTTTTATATGGCCCCCACACATCCATATGTAACAAATCAAAATTATGCTTAGAATGTGAAGTGCTATGAGGAAAGGGTAACCTGGTTTGTTTAGCTAGAGGACACACAGGACCATGAAATGAGGGTAATGCAGTGTGTTCAATAGACTTAGACAATCTAGGATGAACAAGTGGCAAGGTTGAATAAGACAAATGTCCTAACCTTTGATGCCATAATACAAATTTGTGAGATAAAGATGTAGTCATTAGTGAAACAGGAAAAACATGCCTTTTATTCAATTGTAAATCATGAGGTACAGCTTGTGATGAATGTAAAATATTACAAGCAGATTTATTCAACTTTCCTAAAGACATAAGGGACGAAAATGAGAATTTTGGATCATAAAGGTAAAGGCCTTGACTATGCTTACCAATCCCCTTCAACTTGCCTTTGCAAAGATCTTGAATGAGGCAAAAATCAGGATAGAAAGTAACGAAACCATTGTTAGAAACAGCAAGTTTTGAAACAAAAGTAAATTGTGATGAAAATCCGAGACATGTAAGACATTTGATAAGTGTAGGTTATCATCTAGAACAACATATCCTACATTTCTAACATATGTTTTTGTTCCATTCGGTAAACCTACAAGGTATTTGGAAAAAGGTTCTACGGTAGTGGAATATTTCAACATAGACTGATTAAAAGTCATGTGATCAGTTGCTCTAGTATCAATTATCCAGTTATTTTCATCAAAATAGAATAGCAAGGCCACAAAATTACCTGCAAGATTTGCAGCTGAAGGCGATACATTCTCCTTTCCTAGCAATTGAAGAATTTGAGTATACTATTCAGTAGTCAGAATTGGTCCAATTGTTGCATCAGTGTTTCCAATATCAGATTTTCCAGCATCTAACGACTCAAAGCTCTGCACTTGATAAGCCAAAGCTTTTGATTTAGAAGTCTTTCCCTTTGTGAATTGATAGTCAGGTGGATATCCATTCAGCTTATAGCAGGTTTCGCACTTATGTCTAGGGATGTGACAAAACTCACACTCGATATATGGTTTTTTTTTCCCTTATACTTCTATCCCTGACTTTGCCCTTTATCATCTCCATTATTATGTGCATAAATTGTAGTAGACACTTCTGAATTCAAATTCATTCCAACCATAATTTTTTGTCTCTTATCTTGATTAACAATAGAATAAGCTTGTTTCACTGTCGGTAAAGGGTTCATAAGCCAGATTTGACTTCGAACCATGGAGTATGAATCATTCAGCCCCATAAAAAATTGTAACACTTTTTGTTGATTCAAATGCTCCAAATAGGCCTTTGTCGAAGCACTATCAGGTGTAGGTAAGTTCACCAAAGAATCAAGCTCATCCCAAAGTGACTTGAGCTTATTATAGTAAATGGCTACTGTAGTGGTTCCTTGGGTTAAATTCACAATTTCCCGATGAAGAGCAAACACTCTAGTTCCGTTCACTTTGTGGTATTGTTCTTTCAAATCTTGCCAAACTTGTGCAGCGCTTGTTGAATAGACTATTCCATTAAAGATTTCCTTTGACACTAAATTAAAAATCTAAGCAAGGACCAATGAATTACACCTCTCCCATTGTGGAATCAAGTTAGAGTGTACAGATGACTTAGTGCATGTGCCATTAACAAACCCTAGCTTGTTCTTAGCACACAGAGAGACTGTCATTGCTCTACTCCAGATGCCGTAGTTTTCAGAACCAATCAACTGTTCTGAAACCAATACAGATCTTGGTGTGTCTGATGGATGTATGTAAAGCGGTGAGGTGGAGTCAATTGAGGGAATATTTACCCCTTCTGTCAAATTCGCTATAATATCTCTTAAACTTCAAAACCCAAGTCGGATCAACTAAAGACTATGAAATATGAAATTTAAGAACGAGAAGAGAAATTGACAAACTCAAAGCTTCTTCAAATTTGTCTAAGATGCAAGAATGGGCTTTAATTGACCTGGGTTTTGATTTGAAAAGCGGAAGTTTGGTGCTCTAATACCATGTTGAGAGAGCAAAAGAAACAGAGGAAAGCTGAAAATTGGGCAAAATATCGACTGACTTTATTGAATAAAAAATGGTTTCTTATATACAAGCTTAGTAACTCTAGTTACATTTGAGCTGAGCTGAAGTAAGCAAAACTAACAACCAAGCAACTCTAACAACTAACCAATCTGATTAACCAAAATAACTTATAACATGTTTTGACTAAACTACCCTTATATTTGCAATAGTATATGGTACTTTTAGCCATATGTGGAAATATTTCAATGTTCTTCACTTTGTCATATTTGGTGAGAATTTGAATATGAATGCTTCATAAGCTTTCCAGTCCTGGAACTATTTTGTGGCAATAAACCTGAAAGATGTTTTGACTTATTATTATTATTTGTCATAAAATTGTACACTTCTGACAAATACTTTTCTTTGTGTGTATATATATGAATAATTATCATTTATTTTGCTTGTGCTACCATTCAAAGCTTAGGAGAAGATATCAGGGATGTGTTTATCGGACAGGATCCAAGCAGTCTCTTTTATGGCCCATTTGAAAAAAACTTTGCATTGTTTTGCTCCTAGATTTCACTCTGTAGTTTCAGCATCCATAGAATCAGTTATGGAGTCCAGTTGAATACGTAGTATTAGGATCATGCATTGAACCTTGCAATATCATCAATTTTTTTATTGCAAAACTATTTAGTGGTTATGAAGATTGTTATCTGCAAGGTCTGTTTGCCTTGACATTTCTATGGATTGATTCTTTCATGTCCCTGTTGGGTTCATTAAAAACAATTTCATGGATTTAATTCATGCCTTTGTCTCGGTCTTTCTTAACATTTTTAAGCAGAAACCGATGTCTCCCTTCAAATTTTTTTACAGTTATTGCACTCTTTTCCTTTTGTCTAAATATTTGAGTTTAATGACCTGAGTCTCTCAAATTAA